AAAAAAAAAAAAAAAAAATCAAAAATCAAAAAACAAATGTAGTTTAAGTAAAAGTGCCTTTGATGAAAGATAACAGATAACACCACATAGTACAGGCTGTGATATATGATGTAGCTCTGTGGGCCTGGGAAGACCTTGATACACAATAGGAACCTGACCAAACGAAGAAAAGAACAACTCACAATACTGTCCTTGCTTCAGCAACTCAGTTAGACGCACACCACGACTCAAAAGTTGTTGAGTGGCAGCATCGAGGTCAGAACCAAACTGGGCAAAAGCAGCAACCTCACGATACTGAGCCAATTCCAGCTTCATGGTACCTGCCACCTGAAATACAGAAATTACTGTACTGTAACTCAGTGACACAGAGCACTATACAAATATAGTTAATATATGAATACTTTAAGATGCTAATCTAATGATAGCCCCCTTCCTGCCAAGTGAGGCAAAATTACCTGCTTCATAGCCCTGGTTTGGGCAGCAGATCCGACACGAGACACAGACAGACCAACGTTAATGGCAGGGCGGATACCTTTGTAGAACAATTCTGTTTCCAAGAAGATCTATAAGGTAAAGAAATACGCCTGCTAGCAAGCTTGAAGTAAGAAATCAGCTATCTTCAAATCTGTCATTATGCCAAAAAGCTGAAACTCAAAACCTAACAATGCAAAGCGTCAGTCCCCCAATCTTTCATGACCTGAACAGACCTGCATGTTTTATTGCTGCAATTAGGAGATGTGCATGAGATGAGAAAAAAACATAATAGTCAACATCTTTATACTGAAATATATACAAATGAAGAGATATAATTTCTATTTGATTCAAAATTATCTAAAAGGGAGAACAGTAGTGGTTAAAAATGAAACAAGAATGAAACACACTACTCTATGAAATAACTGGGTGACAGATACGTTGGGTTTCACCATGCCATTCTGCTAACTTTTCTATGTATTTGAAATGTTCCACAATAAAAAGTAAAATGCATTTAGCAAATCAGTTAATATACCATTAGTCTAAACCAATGCCTTAGAATTATCCAAAACTTTTTTTACATTTATTTTAATCATAATATAATACCTGTCCGTCAGTGATGGAAATGACATTCGTTGGAATGTAAGCAGACACATCACCAGCCTGTGTTTCTATGACTGGCAAAGCAGTCAAGGAGCCACCACCAAAAGCATCGTTCATTTTGGCTGCTCTCTCCAGCAATCGGGAGTGTAGGTAGAACACATCACCAGGATAGGCCTCACGACCAGGGGGACGGCGCAGCAACAGAGACATCTGACGGTAAGCAACAGCCTATGGTACAGAATAGGTTTGTGAAGTTGACCTATTAAATAGAAGTTGCATATGTGAACTTTCACTGCAGTACAAATAAGTAGATTCTAAAAATATATTTCCTTTGACCTGTTTGGATAAGTCGTCATAGATGATCAAAGCATGTTTGCCATTGTCTCTAAAATACTCTCCCATGGAACAGCCAGAGTAAGGAGCCAGGTACTGAAGTGGGGCAGCATCTGAGGCTGTAGCTGACACCACAATGGTGTACTTCATGGCATCTGCGGAGAAAATACATTTTATGTTTTACAATGTTATCAATATTGTGATTTTAAATTGGA